TTACATAAATGGATGCTTACCGGAAAATAATTTGGCTTGCATATTCAATCTTGTATTCTTGGACGAAGGAAAGGCAGTCTTGACATTGCACCTTTAAAAACTATTAGTAAAGTATTTCCAAGAAGTAAAAAAATGTAAAATATTTCTTGGCAAATGGCAAATTCTGCATGTACAGAAGTGGTATAACGATTTACGATTGGAGATATCATTATTGGCCATGTTGAATAAGATATAATTAAACACTTATTTTAAACATTTGCCGTTTTATTCCCCATACTTGAAATGTTAAATTCTGGTTTACCTATATAATTATGGCAAATCTTAAAATCTTATAAAGACCATGTGGAATGTTTATTTTCGTTTGTTTGTTTTTTTTAATTCTTTTTCCTTCAACATCCAAATCATGCGGCACCGAGGAAAGAACAGATAATATTTTAGCGGACAAAATGCATATATGATGAATCATCATTTTGCCATTATATTATTCGATGAAACATTTTTTCATGAAAATGGTCAGAATAATATTCATAGAAGTTTTTTGTTAGTTCCCAGAACGACTTACTGTCAAGCTAAAAATGTTTGACATCCTATATAATATTGTAGTTAGTCTTGGTCATTATTTTAAGAGTGTTAACATAGTTATTCTGTTATGCTAGAAAAACATCTGGCAAAATGAACAGAGTAAAAAAATCTAATTCTACATGGATTCTCATATATAAATCTGGATAAAATTATGATATCACCACATACTCGTATTCATGGAAGAACACTTTGTTCTAGATTAGTTACATAAAGTAAATAAAAATGTTTTTATCTTTGAAGAATACGGAAGATTTTGATACTTATGCAGCAATATACCTTCACCACCTTCAAACGGAGTATATATATCTCAGTTGATTCAATACTCAAGAGCATGCTCTACATATGAACAATTTCTGAAACGAGGTAAATTATTGACAAGCAAGTAGATGAATCAAGAATATAAGCAGTCTCGTTTAAATTCATCATTTCGTAAGTTCTATGGTAGATACTATGACCTTGTCTGCAAATACAATTTATCATTAAGTCAAATGCTAACTGACGATTTTCATACCAATTGTAAGTCCATTATTTATACACTGAATTGACGACGGATTTTTTCCGTTATTTCCTGATCATGACAAGGCGCTTACGGCGGGTGTGACCGGTCGGCACGGGATGCTCACTCCTCCATGGCACCTGATCCCACCTCTGTTGTTTCGGGGTACGTGTTTGCTCTGCTCTTATTTTGTATTGTTTTATGGACTTTGAGATTGAATACTGTTCGTCATCTCCATATCCTTCTCGAGCAATTACGTTCAGTCTAGAGAGACAGTAGATTCAATTCAAGTGTGTTTTAAGTTAAAGGTCTTACGCAAGGAAATAGTCAATCAAAATGAACTTAGTCAAATGAATTTCTATATACATTGAGACAATTTCTTTTTCTTTTTTTCATTTTCGGCAACTTTTTTTAGGTCTACAATGTTAATTTTAGATTCATGCACTAAGGATATGATATGTTTCGCAGAATTGTGCAACTGAATTAAAGGGAACTCGTTTTTAGGTGCGCGTGATGCAACTTCCTGGATGGTGTGTAGTCTGTTTATCAACATCTGAAACCCACATATTTTTGGGGGTAGGTATGTTTACTCTCAATTTTCTTTCTTAAAAGCCACATAAGCGGTATTTTTTCTGATCTCAAATTTTAATCTAAGCATTAATTTTTTTATTTTCTATTTCATTAATTATCTGGTGATAGTCTAGTTAATTAATTAATTTAATTAAAGCTATATAGTAACATATAGTGAAATGATTTTCTTGTGTGAGAACTAAAGCAAAATCAGGTTACTCATTTTACTACAATTTCTTTGAATTTAGGAGTAGTCTCCCCTTTTAAAGATCCAAAATGGCGGTTTTAACAATGCAGTATGCAGTCTGGTCATCAAAGGAGAATTTTTGACACCCATAATACCCATATTTCTACCATTTACCTCTTCACCTTTGTCGAGTTCATCAGAGAGGTAAGAAAAACAAGATTTTTGAAAAAAATAATTTTATTGAGATAAATAAAATGATAAATAAAAAAAAAAATAAAAAGAGCAGGCTCCCTCGTTTAAATAAATGTCACATTTTACACATTGCAACTTTACTTCATTTACATATCCACATTTTCCCCATTTACACAGTTGAATAGATTTAGTGCATAATAATACATAGCAATTATTACATGTAAGCAAATTCACAAAATATGTATTAAACTGTTAAATACAGGTAGGTTTTGGAGCATCAATACTCCCAGCCATTTTTCACAATCTTACAACTTTCTTTTTCATTCAAAGTCAATAGGCAACACTGAAGATTCCACATATTGCTCTTCAGTCCATGACAGAAAGTTGAGGATTAAGGTTGACAGAACATCCCACACTGTCCTCGGTACCAGCTTATAAGGGAACCAACCGCAGTGAACATACCATGCTACATCATAGGATGATAGGTAAGTCTCTGGAGTAGTGTTTGTAGCAATTCTTGTATTTGGTCCTGCATTGAAGCTTCAGGTATTGATATTTAGCTCTGCATGGATTGTTTTATGGCTTTGGTATTTCCTGAAAAAATGTGACTGATGGTGGTGGCTATATTCTTCTGGCTTTTGTAGTGAGGAATACTTCCTTTTTTGTATTGATGTTGATGCCACAATTTTGGTGCCTTTTTGGCATGATTATTATTTAATTGTGCACTTGTAGACTTTTTCTAAGAATGAACTATTGTATATGGTGCACATTTTAAAGTATTTTTAATTTTAGTGTTCTATTTTAGAGGTTCCTGGTCTTTAAAGAGAAACTCCAAACTTTGATGACTGATGGAAAAAGCCTCATCCCCCAACTGCTAAAGAACCCATATCTTAATCATAGCCATTAATGAGCGATCACTGTTATCAAAGCTCCAAGGTACATTATTGAAGTCTCTTTTGACACCATTTTTTCCAGTCTCTGACTTTCTTTTAGAATTCAAATTGTCAATTTTTTTGCTAAGTAATCCCTTATAAATCAGTGAACTTCCTGTTTCTTAGCTAATTACAGATTATTAATTTGAGTTTAAAAAACTTTTAAGCAGATAGCTAAAAACCCCAACATTTCAAATTGTATTTCAGTCAAATTTTTTTTTCTAAAAAATTCATTCATTTTTTTTTTTCATACTGTAGATGAATTTGTACAGAAATTTAGCTTGAAATTCAACAATCTTTTAGGAAGAGTCATCTCCTATTTTTTTCAACCGTTAAGGACAGAGATAAATTTTGATGCACTACTATATGAAAGATAAATACTCATAGACATTTTGTGATAATTTCATAAACTTTCAGCTGTCTTATGGGTCTTATGCAAGGAAATAGCCAATCAAAATGAACTTAGTCAAATGAAGTTCTTTATACATAGAGACAATTTCTTTTTTTTTCATTTTCGACAACATTTTTTAGGTCTACAATTTTAATTTTGGACTTACGTGCTAGGAATATCATATCTTTAGCAGAATTATCCCACTGAATTTAAAGGAACTCTTTTTTCAGGTGCACATGATGCAACTTCCTGGATGGTGTGTAGGCTGTTTGTCAACATGTGAATCCCACGTGCATATCTGGGTAGGTAAGTTTACTGACAATTTTCTTTCTTAAAAGCCGCATTAGGGGATTTTTTCTAATCCTAAATTTTAATCTAAACATTAATTTTATTTTCTATTTCATGAATTATTGGCTGAGAGTCTAGTTAATTAATTTAATTAAAGCTATATAGTAACAGATAGTGAAATTATTTCCTTGTGTGAGACCTTTCGTGAATTTGATAAATCTGTTAACGAGCAAAAATAAAGAAAATTCCCTTTGACCATAAATGTTTTCCCCCCCCCCCGAGATTATTCCTGCACAAAGAGTTCTTTGTATTTTAATCATCCAATATATGCAAAATGTACATGAAATCGTATCAGAGTCCAAAAAGAATGGTTTTGCGGGTGAAATGAGAGTGCAAATCTTGCAAATGGTGCATAACACAAGTTTAAAATGCTATGGGTATTGTGATGAGGGCTTCCGAATAAAGTTATTTCTTTTTCATTTTCCTTATAAAAGCAGAAAGGATTACGCTTTTTTTATGGATTCAACATTTAGATTTGGCTTGCGATTAGCGTATAATCTCGATATGTACTTATTAGAAGAAAAATGTACTTGTAATAGATAATTACAAAATCAGGCGAAGATCCACGAATTGAAGTTAGAGAGGGCGCCAATAGTAGGCAAAGAGTCTGGGATTCTAGAGATTTTGTAGGGTAAAAATAAGGTCTACCAAATACACAAATTTACATTTTCTAGATGAAACTGTGATTTACGTTATTTTTTTAGGGGTGGGGGGGGGGTGGCGCCGTGTGCACCCCCCTTAAATCCGCCACTGAAAATATAATGTTAAACAATTATAGAAAACTCACAGAAACTAAATTAAAATATTAACCGTCAAAAAACAGAAAAGAATAATTAGTGTATCTGCGCCACATTTCTATAAAACTAGTACAAAGTTCCCATACGTTCACAAATATACATATGTACAACATTTAAAAACTGCCACATAAAATGAAGAAGGAGTTCCGACTGTAAACTTTTTCAATTGAATGAACTGTTGTTACACATTGTTGATAAAAAAAAAACAAGAGGCCCATGGGCCACATCGCTCACCTAAGAAGCTTTGACCATTCTGTTCTTTACCAGATTTCCTCCTTGTAATACATAATGCATCCCCACCCTACCCCACTGATCATAATTTAGACATTTTGAAATCTACACTACCCAAGGATCCTTCTATATAAGTTTCAGCTTTTCTGGCCCAGTGGTTCTTGAGAAGATTTTCAAAGATTTTTCCTTTATATTTCTATGTAAAACTTTGATTCACCATTGTGGCCTCGCCCTTCCCCCGGGGGTCATGATTTGAACAATTTAGAATCTACACTACCCCAGGATGCTTCCACATAAGTTTAAGCTTTTCTGGCCCACTGGTTCTTGAGAAGAAGATTTTCCTATATTTTATGTAAAACTTTGATTCTCCATTGTGGCCCCGCCCTTCCCCCGGGGGTCATGATTTGAACAATTTAGAATCGACACTACCCCAGGATGCTTCCACATAAGTTTCAGCTTTTCTGGCCCAGTGGTTCTTGAGAAGAAGATTTTCAAAGATTGTTCCTATGCATTTCTATGTAAAATTTTCATTCCCCATAGTGGCCCGGCCTTTCCCCTGGGGATCATGATTTGAACAATTTAGAATCTACGCTACCCAAGGATGCTTCCAAATAAGTTTCAGCTTTTCTGGCCCAGTGGTTCTTGAGAAGAAAATTTTTTATTAACCTGTCCTATTTTGTCTTTTCTTGATTATCTCCCCTTATGAGGGGACTTGGCCCATTATTTTAACAATTTATATGCCCCTTAACCCAATGATGTTTTGTCCAAAGTTTGGTCAAAATTGGCTCAGTTGTTCTTGAGAAGAAGTCGAAAATGTGAAAAGTTTAGAGACGGACAGACGGACGGACGGACAGACAGACAGACGGACGGACGGACGACGACGGACGAAATGTGATCAGAAAAGCTCACTTGAGCCTTTGGCTTAGGTGAGCTAAAAACGTTTATATTTAAATTTAATGCAAAATTCGATTATATCTCAGTAGGTTCATCAATGACGAGATCTGTTTGAAGGAATTATTCTTTGCCATATTAAATGTCTGTTTTTAGATGATTAAGTCGAATTTTTGTCATTAATGCTTATGATACGTAAGAGTCTAATGACACGTAATGTAGTAATTTTTTTGCATTTGCAACTCTTCATTATGTTTATTATGATATTTTCCCGCAGCAGAAATGCAAATGCATACTAAAGTCATTTTCAGGAAGCCTTTCAATCACTAAGGGAAAAGAAAGGAGAATTTATTTTTTTTTTAAATATTGCTGCATTTCTTATGATGAACGGTTAAAAACCTTTTAAACTCCAAAACATTGCCAATTGTCGTGTTAGACATGCACTTTTTATTTCTGTTCAGCAGACTTAAACTTGACTTCCAGTAATGGTATGAAAGTCGTTTGACCGTGATATTACCAATATTTACAAATTTGAACATATCAATTTTTTCTAGATAAGAAATTCTTTACTTTTTAGGTCACCTGAGTAAACTCAGGTGACCTATTGTTATCTGTTTTCGTCCGTCGTCGTGCGTCGTGCGTCGTGCGTTAACATTTGAACATTTTCAGCTTCTTCTCTGCAACTACTGAACCAATTTCAACCAAATTTAACACAAAGCATTTATTGGTCAAGGGAAACAAAAGTTGTGAATTTCATGATCCCTGCCCCCCTGGGGCCTGAGATGTGGAGAAAAAACACTGAAATTAATGCAATTTTTAAAAATCTTCTTCTTTACTCCTGGATAACAAGCAGTCAAACTGTTTGCATGATTGTAACTTGCATTGAGTCTTCTACCAAAATTGTGAAATTCATGGCCTCAGGATAAGGGGTTCTAGTGCTAGGGTGGGGCTAAATAAGTATATAGTGAAAATACATGAATTCTTTGAAAGCCTTCTTCTCTGCCCCTAGGTATTAAATAAACTGACTAAGTGCATAGTTATGCTGAACAAGAGTGCCTCTACCACATTTGTGAATTTGTTGCCCCAGGGTTAGGGGTTCTGGTGTTAGGTAGGGGGGGGTCTCTATTGATTATATAGTGAAAATACATGAATTCTTTGAAAATCTTCTTCTCTGCTCCTGGGTATTAAATAGATTAAATAAGTGCATAGTTTTGATGAGCATGGGTACTTTTAACAAAATTATGAAATCCATGGCTCTCGGGTCAGGGGTTCCTGTGTTAGGGGTGGGAGGGGGGGGGCTCTATTGATTATATAGTGAAAATCCATGAATTCTTTGAAAGTCTTCTTTTCTGCTCCTAGGTATTAAATAAACTAACTAAGTGCATAGTTATACCAGTAATAATAAAGCCCCAAATTCAGGACCGGGGTTTTTGTGTTAGGAGGGGTGGCTCTATTGATAATATAGTGAAAATAAACGAATTCTTTGAAAATCTTCTCTGCTCCTGGGTATTAAGCAGTTGAACTACCTATATATTTGTGAACCAAGACCCATTCTTCCAGATTTGTGAATTTCATGGATCCAGGGTCAGGGGTACTATTGAGAGGGGGAGGGGGTGGACTTATAGACTGAAAATGAATGAAATGTTTGAAATCTGCTCCTTGGTATTAATCAAATATTTTTGAAAAGCAAGGATGCCTTTTCAACAAGAGGCCCAGGGGCCACATCGCTCACCTGAGTGAAAATCCTTTAATACTTGCAAGAATTACCGGTACAATGTATATGCATGTAGATGTTTAAGAGTATGAACTTCCTCCATTTATTCACTGTAAATGAGCTTGATCTGAATATAAAATTGCTAAGAACCAGGCTTTCTTTTCAATCAGTGCTTAATGCCTACCTCATCATCAATTTAGTCAAAAAGAGGTCAATCTCAGTATTTCTGCAAAATATAGCACTTGAACTGTCAACTCTAAAGTCTAATATGCTAACATTATAAAATATTTGCATAAAAGTGAGGGAGACATGAAGATTTCTTTGCCTATGAAAAATCTTCTTTTTTTCTTTTCTTTTAGGGGAGGGTGAGCTAATAAGTAAGAAGCGTTAATAACAATCAACTATCTAAATTTTAGATGAATTTAACAAACAAATATAAACACAATATCAAATATGTAATATAGCAACAATTTGTGACAGAAATGCAAAACATTTTTTACAGGAAATTTCAATATATCAAAGTAATCATTTGAAAGATACAAAATACACTGTATTTATTAAAGTTCACTTAATAGTAAAACTTTCCTACACATATCGAAAGCGAAACTTGGAAAGATTGCAAGTGAAAATGTCAATGAATATATGTATGATATGATATACAGACTGTGACTTTGAATATCAACTTTTATTTTTAAAGAATTTTTAACAAGTAACATTTATTTGGAGTACCTGCATGAATCAGATTTTCTAGACTTGATGGTAATATTCCAAAATGGAATACACATATGTTATAAAGATCTTTTTGCAATCAATAATTTTGTTTTTTAGGACCAGTAATGAGAAATTATAGTGATCCACTTTGTTTTCCCTCTCCTTTATAGGAGAAACTGTAATTTTATAAAGAGGTAGGTTTACCTCCCTTTACGGGCTGTCCATTGACCCCCTCTTTTCATACCTACCTGGGTATAAGTTTTTAATATATTAAGTCATTCTCATAAGGTTATAATATATATGGTGGTCACAAATTAAATATCTCAATGCTGAAGAATATTAAAGGAAAAAATAACATGGAGTTAACTGAATTTAGCAATATACCAGTAACTCAGAATGAATTGTCAGTTACTGTTTGATTATGCAGGTTGCTTTCCTATTCTACTTAAGTAACTAAAGTGTAAGTAAAAGTAAATGTTTAACATATTTAAAGCAATTTCTGAATGTTTTGAAACACAAAACTACAATCAACTTTAACATTTTAACACAACAATTCAAAAAAAGATAAATAATCAAGTCAAAATATTTCACCACAAAGTTTCATATTTAC